TCCATAACTTTACCAAATTTAATCCGATCTCAAAGTGGCATACCTCTAAAGACTTCTGGGTTGATTCTCTAAAAATCTGCATTCAAATTTTTCATTTTAGCGTTGGTCAAATTTTTGACCCTTTTTCATGTTAGTAATTTCTAAGTTTCCGATGTCTTGTAAAAAGGTGACCCTCAACTAGACTTCTACAGTCCATAACTTTACCAAATTTAATCCGATCCCAAAGTGGCATACCTCTAAAGACTTCTGGGTTGATTCTCTAAAAATCTGCATTCAAATTTTTCATTTTAGCGTTGGTCAAATTTTTGACCCATTTTCATGTTAGTTATTTGTAAGTTTCCGATGACTTGTAAAAAAGGTTACTCACAATTGGACTTCCAGAGTCCATAACTTTACCAAATTTAATCCGATCTCAAAGTGGCATACCTCTAAAGACTTCTACATTGATTCACTAAAAATCTGTATTCAATTTTTTAATTTTAGCGTTGGTCAAATTTTTGACCCTTTTTCATGTTAGTTATCTCTAAGTTTCCGATGTCCTGTAAAGGGACCTCAATTAGACTTCACAGTCCATAACTTTACCAAATTTAATCCGATTTCAAAGTGGCATACCTCTAAAGACTCGTGATTCGATTCACTAAAAATCTGCATTCAAATTTTTCATTTTAGCGTTGGTCAAATTTTTGCCCCATTTTCATGTTAGTTATTTTTAATTTTCCGATGTCTTGTAAAAAGGTGACCCTCATTTAGACTTTTACAGTCCATAACTTTACCAAATTTAATCCGATCCCAAAGTAGCATACCTCTAAAGACTTCTGGGTTGATTCTCTAAAAATCTGATTCAAATTTTTATACCCGTTACTCGTAGAGTAAAAGGATATATTGTATTCGCAAAAGTATGTAACAGCTAGAAGGAAGCGTTTCCGACCCTATAAAGTATATATATCTTGATCAGGATCACCTCCGAGTTGATATAGCCATGTCCGTCTGTCCGTCGTCCGTCTGTCCGTCTGTCCGTCTGTCCGTCTGTCTGTCCGTCTGTCTGTCGCCGTATGAACGCTGAGATCTCGGAAACTATAAAACAGAAGATTGGCATTTGCATGTAGATTTTAGAAGTTCCTACGCAGCGCAAGTTTGTTTCAAAATGGTGCCACGCCCCTTTAACGCCCACAATCGCTTATATACGATTTTAAAAATTTTAATATTTCGAAAAGTAAAATGCAGTTTTATTGTGTTTATCAATACCTATCGAAATGTAGAAGAAATTTTCAAACGGACCATCGTTAAAAAGTTATGCGACAAAGTTTCTATCTCCATCTCCCCGCACCCCTTTACCTAGGTACTGATAGTCGGGGCACCCGACTATAGCGTTCTCCCTTGTTCATTTTAGCGTTGGTCAAATTTTTGACCCGTTTTCATGTTAGTTATTCCTAAGTTTCCGATGACTTGTAAAAAAGGTTACTCACAATTGGACTTCCAGAGTCCATAACTTTGCCAAATTCAAATTGATTTCAAAGTGGCATACCTCTAAAGACTTTTATTCACTTTGATACTTAAACTTTGGCATAAATAATAACTTAAAGAATGAATTTTAAAATTATAAGTGTTTCCTTTTGTAGTCTGGATCTTATAAACATACACTGCCCTTTTCACGAATGCAGAACACATAATCACGTAGGAGCCATCACTAGTTGATGTGATTGCAGACATTATGTGCAGCTGGCTGGGCGCGGTTACTTAACTATCTCTTGGCCATAAATTCCGGCGGATCCCATTCCACCAATTTCCTGTCGCATGCCCTGCTAAGTATGCTATATAGTTTTTTTTGTAATAAGTCCAACAACTGTCAACTGCGAAGGGGAAACAGCTGAAATTCAGCAATAAATAGCCGTGAGTGAGCCTGAGTGGTGCATGCTTCATTAATGCGACAAGCGTGGGGGTGACCCTTCTCCCCCTGACCCCCTGACCCCTTAACCCTTACCGCTCAGCCCACACACACACATACAAACAGCCAGCACAATTGACTGCACTTGTGTGTCCACTTAGTTGGGCGAACAAAACCCACAATATCCACATGGCCGAGTGGTTGCACTGACGTCCCCCACCGCCCCTTAACCCCACAACCCCACAACCCCACAACCCCTGAACCCCCTTAACCCCCTAAATGCCCACTGGTCAGTAGCTCTTCATGTCGGTGTGGTTAAGTGAGCTCCGTGCGGCTCTACAGTTATGTTTTATTTTGGCCTTTTTTGAGTTATGCGCCGCATTTCCGGTCTTGTCATTTCATACTAATCAACATCCGTTGAGCGGAATTTTGGCCAAGCACTTTGGACTGCATTATTTCGCGGATATGTATATATTCGGGCAAGTCCCGATATTCGGGGTAATATTTTCTGACCCGCATTATACGCATTTGTTGCAGCATTTGCATTGTAATTGCAACAGTGCGTATAAGTGATGTGCATATAAATTAGATTTGCTTCGCTGCGGGTTGTCGGTTGGGCAAAAAGTCCAACTATGGAAATTGAAAATTTATTGCATACCCCCTGGCCGGCATTTGGTTAATGGTGTGGGTGTGTGTGTGCTTTTGGTTGGTTCTGGCTTTCATTACAAATTACGCATACGCACCGTTGTTAATTTCATATTCATAAATGATGGCCGCACTCCTTGGGGAAATTGCATGAAGCACTCCAGCTCTGCGGTCCTTTATGCCACAGGTCCCGTTTGTGCGTGTGTGTTTGAATATTATTTGTTAACAAAAAAAAATATGGTTAAATTATGCCCGTTTCAGTCGTCTTTGATCTCCGCCCTCCAAGCTTTGTGGCAAATCTCTGCTTTGGCCTACTCCAACTAGCCAAAGCCAGGCAACATAATCCGGTACATTTGACTCTGAATGCTCTCTTAGGTCCAGTCCATTTGGCCACTTGACTGGCCCGAAAACGAAGCTGGCCATCAAATCCCCAGAAAGACCAAGCCATAAACATAAAAACCAAAAGGGCACAACTCTCTACTAGGCCGCTCGGCCATCGAGTACTTTGTTGAATTAAACCTCTAATTAGTGAAAGCTGTTTTTGGCCGGGATTAAATGTTGCCCAGGGACATCTTAAATGACTAATGAAAATTTCTTTGAATTTTTTAAAGATTCGCTTGTAAGAAGAGGCTCAGAAAAGCTTCCTTGATTAAAAATGTTCATTAAGCTTGTAGCTTAAGCAAAGGCAGGAAGGCTCCTTAACTCTACAGGTTAAGCTGAAGGAAGTTATGGATCTGGAAAATTTGTAAGGGTACATAAACCCCTAAGCAAAGCAAGTAGGTTAATAAACTCTTGGGCAATTATAAAAGGATTCAGAACCGGAAATTACAAAAGTGCTAAGTAATCATTTTTTAAAATTTTTTAAAACCATATAAGGCTATTTAGGACATTTATTCAGATTGAAACATTATGGCTTACAAACAAGCATCCATACGTTTAACATTTTTGCAGTACAAAAATAAATCTAACACAAAAATGTTATTAGACTCATATCGAAAGAATTCACCTTAGGAATACCAACTGCATAAAATTCTTCCCTTTATTCCTCCCTTTTGCTTCATGACAGTTAGCACTAGCCCGTTACCAACTTCAGTTTTTATTACATGACACGACATTCCATTCGAAGCAGTCTGCCCTTTTAGTGCCGACTCACCAATAAAACTGCATTGTGTCTATAGAACCCAGGCAAACAAATTAGTTCTGCCCAGACACACACTCCGCAGCGAAAAGGGGGCGTTTTGGGGGCATCAAAATATTAGACGCGTCAATAGCTGTGCACATTTTGCGCTTTTGCATTTCGAAGGCAATCGTGGCGAAAAGTTGAACGACATCGTATGGAAATGCTGAAAACGGCATGGGGTAGTATGCCAATTCAATGGAACAAAAAGTGCAACCAACTCTGATGACGCGCACTCTCCTTTCGTCGATGAGGATGTCGATGATATGGGAATGTGTGTTTAATGGTTGACATTGTTGTTTACAAATTGACTTTTTGTTGGTGCTGCTGCCGCTCTGCTCGTCAATAAACATTTGCCTGATAATATGCCAACATATGCATAACGTACATAAGTAGCTTATATTCCCATTCCATCTCTGCTACTGAACACAGCAAAAAAAGTCACCAAATCAATCGTATCTTATCATGTAGTTTTATAGCTTATAATTGATTATGTGAAACAAAACTATATAAATACAAAGATCTAAAGCTACATGTTTTATGAAAACCTAAATTAAAAGAAAAACGATAATAAAATAAAAAATGATTTAAAAATTTTTAAGAAAACCTAGTGGGGCTTATTTACATTTTTATTACTTTTTAATTGTTTTAATTGTCTTAATGAACTGAAACAAAAAAAAAGAAAGAAAAACGTTAAAACTTAAATAATGTTTTAATCAAAATCATTTGGTTATAATTAATTAATATTGAAGATACATTTATATAATAATTTAAAATTTAAGATTTGCCGTGCAATCTAAAACTAATCGTGCTTTGTTTTTTTGTCTGTGCAGCAGAGCTGCAGCAATATCAGCAGCAACAGCAGTCGAGCAAACATCAGGCAAATGGAGCTGTCCTCACTGGCATCCAGTCGCATCATATACGCGGACCACGCCCACCCCTCCGCACCGCCTCCTCGACGACGACGAACAGCAGCAGCAATAACGCGGCGATGGGCGTGGCCGTGGGCGGGGGCGGCGGCGGTGGCAACATGCTGCTGGACCAAACGCCATCAGGCGGCAGCAGCAGCAGCGGCGTAAGTAGCGCCCCCAGCTCCTCGAAGGGTCACCACACCCACTCGCACTCCCATGCCGCCCACCTGGTCCACTCGCACGGCGACGGCCTTGTCCTGACCTCCGCCTCACCTGTGGGCGGCCAGCAGCAGCATCCGCAACAGCATCAGCATCCGCAGCAGCAGCAGCAACAGCAGGTGCCGCAGGCGGCGATGGACGAGATGCGCGTCTGATAGGTATCGGTCTTTGAGTTGGACTTATAGTCATCAACGGGGTAAGCAATCTCCACATATTAACCCTATTTCCATTTTATTTGGCATAATCATTTTTGCTTGACTTTTATCGTACACAACTTTTGGGAAGCATATTCACATTGTTCTTGACCCATTCGGCCATTTTCTATAATCTGAAATCTGAAATCGAAAAGTTTATAAGCTAAAATCTCAAGAGAAAGTGCTCTAAATTTTTGAACACCAATAAAGCTTATTAAAGAAAAGTGGAAGAAAATTTGTAGAGTTAAGTAGTCAAAAGATGCAACGGTAAGTTTTTTCCGGGATTTCAGAAAGGCTTACTAAGAATTAAAAGTACTTTTAAAATCAGCTAATTTCCAATTACACCACCAAAGTTAGAGTTTAAATAATAATAAGTTGAGATTGTTTGGTTTTGTCCTCTTTAGTAATTGATTGATTTTATGAAAGTTAAGTCCACTGGCTTTCTTGAAATTACTATAGTAAAAATTAGAGCTTGAAATGCAAAAATTTTAATTTATAAACTTTCAAAATCATTATTTTTGCTTTATGATGAAGGATTTTTTAATTTTTATTTTTTTGTAAAATTATATGGATACATTTTAAATAAAGAGTCGATAGAGATGGGTTAAAAAAAACAGTATTCGATAAAATTATTACTTAAGAATTTTGTTTGCGTTTCCATTGAAAGTAATTTGCCATTTATGTAATTTCTATTAGTCATTGTCGCTAAATTCTACTCTTTGTTAGTCCGCGCTTTTCTCACACGTTTATTCGTTGATTCCTTCTGTAATTTGAACACTATATCATTTTGCTTTGAACAGCATCTCATCTTCATCCTCCTCTTCCTCCTCCTCCTCCTCTTCCTCATCATCATCGTCATCCTCCTTCACTTCTTTCTTTACGGAAGGATAACTCAGGGGATTTTCGGTAAACTCGTATGTAATTTCTCCAAACGAATTCATTTTCGCATATTCATACAGATAGTATTTATTATTCATTTCGCGTATTATTCCAAAACGTAGTCCAACTTCCAGAGCCTTTCTCAATTCATTGGTGTAATATTTGGGACGCCACGTGGAGTCCAAGGTGGTCAGGACGAACTCCAGGATGTCCTTCCAATCGGTCGGTGGGTCAAGCTTTTTCAAGGCAACTGTGAGGTAGTGGGATATAGTGAGCTTTTCCATTTCAGATTTTTTTTTAAACTTTCTAAAGAGGCAACAAATACTAGGAAATTCTAAGAAATTGACAGAAAAATCGTTAACAAATTGCACCAACTTAAAGTCGATTCAGTAAGAAAATTTATTTATGACAAAAATGCTGAACCCTTTAGAGAGACGGAAAAAAGGAAAGGTCATGTCGGGACATCCAAAAAAAAAAGGTAAAATAAAATATTTGCGCACACAGGCTCTGATCAAAAATAACAATCGGCATGTCAAACATGCGGCAGCAAAAAATGCTGGCTCTTTATTTGATAAAAAAGAGGACAAATAAAACATAAATATGCATGAAAAGCACGGAACATAGCCGAGTTCATGGTTCAAGGTGGATTCGAATGTCGCAGCCACTGGCATGAAAAAATGCCAAAGAGCGGGCGAAATAACCAAAAAATGATGGGGGAGCTTTAATGGGAACTTTTACGCTGGACAAAATAAAAATAACTACAAGTAAATATGGGAAGGTAATAATGCCAGACCAGAGGGGAGTGAAATTAAAAACGAAATTAAAAATGGAACCACCAGACCAAGCCGTAACAAGTGGCAAGGTGCAAGGCAATTTGCGGCATGCAACTTGAAACCGAGCAACCAACTAATTTATGAGCCTGGAAATTCGAGCTAAACCAAATTAAAACTGCAGAGTGGCCCAGAAAAAAAACTTAGAAATAGCATTAACTATAGCCAAGCTGTGTAACTATAACTGAACCAGAGTTCCATTGCTGTCAACCCAAAGGAAAGTCGAAAAACCAAGCAATTATATTGCAGAAAACCTGAACTGAAGGGAAAGCCTTTTTCAAAAAACAACACTGGACTTCTTGGAATTTATGTTACGCCTCACAGAAATGGAAGTGAATTGGGTTTTACTAATGTGTTAAGGGTATTTATTATTTTATCAAACATAATTTAATAGAGGAGTAGAGTGTTTAAGATAAGGTTCTATAAATGACCACGTATTCTTTTTTAGAAGCAGTCATTGTAAAGTAAATGGGTTAACGATTTAAAATCCCAATAGATTAAAGCTTTATAAATTTTAAAATTAAACATAAATCAAAAGTATAGAATATTAATTCACTCTATTTTAAGGACCTATCAAAAGCATTGTTTTGTTTTTGCTTTAAGCTTTTAATACTTAAACTAATGGATGGGTATACCATTTATTAAATAAATTCGCTACGAAAGTAGCCCGAAAAGATCAAGCCACTTACAGAACATTTTATCACCTACTTTGCTGCCCACTTGCAGCCACTTTTACATGAGCTCGAGTGTGTGGGTGTGTGTGAATGTGTGGGTGTGTGGGTGTGTGTCGGTCAGGACACTATTTCACCTGGCGTACAATTAAATTTGCATTTCCTTCCTTTTTGTTTAACCCACGTTGCCTGCAAAGCCTCTGCCTTGGTTTCCTTAACTTTTAGCTGATTAACATTTCTGAGCTGTGCTCTTGGCGCGGTGGAAAATGCAATTTTCCCATCCAACTGAAGTGAAAGGGGGCGGGGGCACAGGGCAAGGGGCAAAGGGCAACTTTTATGTAAATTTACACCCACAAATACGCACATACACCCGGACAAGGGGGCGTGTCGATGTGTGTATGTGTTAAAAGCGCAATAAACATTAATTTCACATTCTTTTTCCTTAAGCCACTCCACTGGTTTTCAGCTCCTTACACTTTGTTTAAGTTACTTCTGCTTCTCAATTTTTTTGGACTCGTTAAATTTTAAGAAAAGAGTGAAAAAATGGGGGAAAGAATAACAAAACAGACAATTTCTTTGATTGCATTGCCTAAAGAAAAATAACTAGAGGCTTCACCTTGAGGAGAGTTATTTGACAGTTAAACAAATTATTATGGAGATTTCCAAATATGCAAATGACCCACATTTAATCACTAAGCAAATTTTCGAATTTCATTTAATTTGGGCAGCAAACATAAATAAATTCAATTTATATGCTTACATTTTGGCGAAATTGCTGAGACAGTCCAACCCATTGCTAACCAATTAAGTCAACAAATGACAGAAAATACAGCTTAATTTCTCATCAATTTGGCTTAGTTGTATTTAGTTAGGAAATTATTACGCAACCAAAATATTTTCTCCAGTTTGCCTTTGCGAAACAGGCGTGAACTTTATAAAATTCTTAGCTAAAATTACATGAATAAGCTAGCAGTGTAAATGGGAATCCGTTCACACACAAATTCTTACAAAGGCTTGTGGGCTAAATGTGTTGTGTAATTAGCCCGAAACTTTCAAGTTGCATCTAGCACCCAAGAGTTGAGGGTTAAGTGCATAAGGGATTAGCTACAGGATCCGCACATTATATGGGTGGCATTTTGTCATGAATACCTGAGCTTATATGATGCTCATGGCAACGTCACCGGAAACATCAACTATCAATAGTCATGTGTGATATTTAAGAGACTTATTTGATATTAATTACATATTCCTTTTTATAGATTACCTTTATAGCCACCTTAACGTGTGTTGTATTTATTTGTATTTATTAAAACCCAATTACCATTTCAACATATTTTCTATCATTTGTATGTTTTTTTTTAAAATTTGTTTTGAAATTCGTTTTTTGTATAAAACACTTGTTTTTATTAAACAAAGGCCGATTTTCCTAAAAGCGTTTTAGGTTTAAATTGAAAAAATATTTTTATAACTTAGCTAGCCACTTATACATTCCATTTATAATTCTTTAATATTAGCTTCTTGGCTTTTATTTTAATAATTTTAGATATTTTTCCTGACATTTGATATGTCTAATATAAAGCACACAAACTTTGAAAGGTATTGTGCTTTTAATTAAAAATTATCTTTTATTATTACCAACTAATTCTCCCCTCTGAATGTATGATAATGAGACTAGGAACCTGAGCGAATTTCTGACACTTGACTGATGTTTATTATTTCTTGGGGAACTTAATACCAACCAGTTCCCCCGATAGACCACTCAGTCTCACTGCTTTGCTCCTCCAGATCCAGTTGCCCCTCTTTGGCAGTGCAAGATATGCAAAGTGGCTGCACAAACATGAGCGTAATACGTTAATGATGGTCTCTGCCTTTTCCCCCCCCCACTTAAAACTCCCCCTCCACCCCCCCTTTTTTTACCACCCGTAACTTGCACACATTGTAGCAGCGATTTGCATTACGCGCATTACTCAGTTCACTCATTTTGCCAGGGCTTCTTTTTCCCTTAGTTTTGGTATCTTGCAAGGAGAAAGTCTAAGCTGCATGGCTGCTACACCCCCCCTTAAAACCACTCACGCTGCTTCCCCCCAGTCAACAATCTGCGCCAAATTGTGCGCTCAACTGTGCAGCTGCCTTGCCGGCCCAACACCCCACCACCCCACCACCCCCTTTAACCCTTGCTCAAGACCCCCAATCTAAGAATTCACCTAACCCCAAACCCCAAACACCACCCAGAACACCCCACGATGGCCAAAGAGCTGGCAAAACAAAAGGCAGCCGCGCATTTTTCACAACTGCACTTTACTTTGCACTTTTCGCTTTCTTTGCATAAATTCTCGCCCACCCGAGTTTACTGTACTGCAAAAATGGGAACGCATAGCGAAAAAGAAAGAAAGAAAACAAATTGGCAGAAAAGTGTCACGCGAATAGACCGGAAGATATCCTTCAGTTTTGGCGTTTAAATTAATGTTAAAGAAGTCATAAAATTAAAAAAATATAAAATAAACTTATTCATTTATTTATTCCTATTTATAGTGTATTTAAAATATTTTATTGAACAAAAATTAAACATCTGAAATTAATTGTTTTGCAGTCTTAGATTGCTTAATATCAAAGGAATGGACTTTCCTTCAGTTAAATAAATTAAATTAGACACAATTTAAGATGATGTTGAAATTTAGATTTTTGTTAATTTAATTAAAATGTTGTTTTTCAGAACTATAAATTAATTACTTCGTAAACATGACATTTCTTTGCAATATCTGAAGATAAAGAGTACCCTCCAAATTCCCTAGTACCCGGTATAAAAACACAAACAGCGGTAGTTGAAGAAAAAGTTGAAGAAGAGAACGAAGAAAAAAAAAAGGGGAAGCTGAATAAATATGGCATGCAGCTGCTGCAGAAGATTTCCCGCTGAATTTTAAACTAAACACAAAAGCATAATGGAGAAATGGGAAAATGGAAAGCGCCAACAGAGCGCAATGAAGTGTATGGCCATGAGAACGGCGTAACATCAGCGGATCCGCGACCAAATGGAGCCGAGTTCCACGATAGGACAGATATGCAAAGGGCGATATAGCGCTGCCAACTGAGTGGCACTGATGGGGCTGCACTTCAGGCAGGCACTGTGTCGTTAACGCTGGATGTCGAGGGGGGGTGAATAGAAAAACAGGGGAAAAGTCATGACTGCAACTGCCAGACGAATTTGAGAAACTCTGACTCCTCTGAAGAAAGTCTTAGATGAAGTGCACTGATTTTCAGAATCACCCATGAAGCAATATACCATTCATTCGGATTATGAAGGTTCTTTCAAACTGCTAAACAATAATAAGATAAGGGTCATTGAGTTACTTACAACTCAATTCCGAATTATGATGAGTTATGTTTCACGCTTATAAAAAGATTCTGAATGTGTACATTTTGACAATGGTTTACATTAATCCATAAATAGCAATATTGGAATTAAAAATAAATTTAACAACGAATTAAAGACTTTATGTTTTGCAAGGCTGCACAATTTGTCATTAGCTAATATATGAAGATAGTATGATTACTATTCGCCACTTAGTCGACTTTAATGAATAACCATCAATTAGGAGCTGTCTATTACGTAATTATCAATGTGGGTGGGGGTTTGTCAGCGAGCAGATAACTTTGTAGATTTCTTTCAATTATTGCAAATATCGCTTAAAATATTAAGACGTAATAAATGGCAATCCCATAAATATTTACGTGGTTTTATCAAATTATACAAATGAAAGAAAAAAAGATTTTAATCTACTCAAATTTAACATCTATGATTTTTTATTTGAGCAGCATGCATATACGGCC